GATTATACATTGTACTTCCAATATAGTGTATAAATAAAATATGTATATACCAGCCATTTCAGGATTTGAACCCATTCTCAAGTAAAAGAATCTTCGCATAGAGTCCACACGCTTTTCCACTAGACCAGTTGCGACACTGAAGTATTGTGTGCTATTTAATGTATACCTTTTGCATTTCGGGTGGATAATAATTTTTATTCGATTTTTGTGATTTTCAAAAATATGCCTCTTTGAAACAAAAATCGGAAATGGCAGTTTTGAAGAAAAATCCTGTCTCTTTATGCGTATATCAAATTCATTCTGTTTCAAGTCTCAGGCAAGTTTTCAGAACAATGGGGATTCCCTATTTGAAAAACAGAAAACTGGACTTATTTTGCTATGTGACTAATTGACACTTCATTTAATGGCAAATTGGTAGTCGATATGCATTTTGCAAATATTGTTCTACATTGTGCTGTATATACCGTTGTATCTGAAAAAATTTAAGACCGTTTTCTGTTACTTAAAATTTTCTTTTAAACTGCTACAACTTTAGGGAAAATAACAAAAGAACAGTCTCTTTTGTTCCCTCTTTTGACCTATACTCGGCACTCAGGGCCAGTAAGGGATCTTTTTCGTGCCAGTACCTACTGCGACACAGGACCTTGGTTTATGCGGTCTCATCCAAAGGACCGGTCTCCACGTCCCGCAGTCGAACCGTCGATGTAAGGATCAACTCCTTACTTTGCGACTCTAGAGCAGACGCTCTAATCACTGCGCCACGCGGGCGACGTCTATATAAATGGTTGCTGACAACTTTTTTTTAAATTGCTACTCATCAATCCATGCAATATGTAAGATATATGTATGGCCACCATACATATATCGAATGGTGTTGCAAATGTTACTGAAAAAAAAACTCGCTACTTTCCATATAGATTTGTTTGAATATTTTTTTTATGATATACGTATCTGATAGAGGTCTATCCAGAGGATACACGATATGGTCATTAAAATCAAAATACTAAAGTACTCAAAGGGTATTTTTTCTATTTCTTTCTTTCTTTCACAGGAAATATCATACGTATGTTTTTTTTTACATAGAAAAAAGCAAACACGCAAGTTTCGAAATTATCTCCCTTGGTGCGCTTTTTTGTTACGGAGAGGAGTTTTGTTTCCGCGTAAACAGGCAGGTGGGACAGTTATTTATATTGGATACCTTACAACATCGATATGTCGGTCTATCATAACTGATTTTAGGGATGCGCTCTTCAATTCAAAAATTGCCGAATTTATCTATGCACATTATTTTTCTATTAAGGAGGTTGGATCCTGTTATCAAAAGTATTGAGAATTTTTTATCAAGTATACTTTTGAAATCTATACACATAGCTTAGTTAAAAATCAAAACCAAAAATGTGGGTCAATGCGCTTCTTTTGGAGCTACGGAGCATTTAATATGACCTTTTTGCACTGTAATTACGTCTAACACATAAATCAACTTTTCAAAGTTTTTTCTCTAATATTTTTATTCAGTTAAAGTATGGGAACAAACACAGTCTTTTTTCATCTTGAATAGTCTCTCTAAAATTTGTGACAACAAAAAAGTTTCAAATTACTTCGCATAGTCAATTATTTGACCTTTTTGCACTCATAAAATGTCATTTTTCTGGCATTAAAAATTAAACAAGCAATCAAATCATTTGAAAGTAATGACATTTTTCTGAATTTAAGCAGAATGGTTAAAAATATCTTCTATATTCAGAAAAGAAAATTAAAAGTGGGGGTCTGTGATGTTAATTTTTAGATACAACGCAAAAGGTGTTAATTTTTAGCCTAAAGTGGGCTATTTTTTTTTCCAGGACTTTCACAATACATTTGCTATATTTGTCCATGTTAATTTAATCATGGGGTTTTAGTTGAAAATAGTATAATTACTGTCTTCCTTGGAAGACGGTATACAGAATTGAAGTATTTTACAGTCTTCGGACTATGCACTTCCTCTCTTTTGCGATTGGTAGAAATTACATGATGTGAAAATTTTCAATTATTTCATTGGTTGAAATGCTGTTCAAGGCAAGGGAGATAATTTTCTGACGATCGAATTTTCGTACGACTTAACAATTTTTCAAGTTTTTCAATCGTAAAAAAATATGACAAAACGAACGTGGAAAATGGCAGTAATTAATTCTAAATAACATGCTAGTTACTAAAAAACGTTTCTATATTTTCATTGTAAACAGAATTTATCTTTACAGCTTGTATGTATTCTTTTCCCCTTTGTTTCGCACTGTCTTTCTTATCTCGGCAGCACTTAGCATGCCTCGGCCGATTCGTACCTCATCTATATGGTTTGAAGGTGACGGAATCAGCCGAGGTCTGCCGAGAAAGCCGAGCGTCTGGTTAACTTTTACTTGGTAGGAATAATGTCAGTAAAAAGCTAATGAATAAATACAAAGACAAGAAATTCACAAGAATAATACGGCCTGATAGGTGTAGGTCAGTTTACTGTTTAAGGTTGTTGCTAAAGACGGTAAGCTTTTTGAAAAAGCTCTACTTGTTAGCATTGTAGAATCCAAATTTATTGTAAGAACTAAAACATTATACAGAATTTTTTAAATAAAGGTCAAGACAAAAATCTGCTCAAAAACTCTGGAACGAACCTCGTCAAAAAAGAACAAAAGACAATATCAGCGGATATTACTTATCTTACGAGGGAAGAGATTGGATCTCCAATTAATACACACGCATCTGATCACTTGTACGTCAGCATTCTGAATGACACACCGACTCTTCCCCTTATTATAATTTCACAGAGCCCACTAACTTTTAAAAAAAACAATGACAGCTGAAAAAATCTTTGTCTAGACCCCACGATATGAGAAGAATGTTCTTAACTTCAGATTTTGTTTTGGGTTAGGGGTGGGGGATTATAAGGTCCAATACTGGGGGGGGGGGCTTTCAATGAATAATTTTATTCTAAATTAAAAGTAAAAATTGACGTTCAGAAAAAAAAGTGTTGGGGGGGGGGGTACGGGCAATCCACCCCACCCCAAATTATATATTCCCTTATGTTATGTTCACCTGAGTGGAGGTCGGTAGCAAGTGAAATAGCTTTCCAAAACTATGTGTATCAATTTGGAAATTTCCAAGCTATTTTTAGACCAATGTAGAGAAAAATAAATCTTTATATTTACCTGGAAGGTCATATGCAAGTGAATATGATGTAATATTTTCCTACGAAGTTGGATCTCAGCCAATCAAAGAGATAGGAATTATTCAATCATATAAAAACTGTTATCACTGGTATATGTAAACAACTTTACACCATGACAATTAATTAAAGGTGTTTAGAAGTAATAGCATTGTTTTCATTGTTATGTTAACTTCAGTATGCCTTCCAAAAAGGAAAAAGTTATTTTATACAAAAGTAAAATTATTAGCGAGGTTAGAAAACATTCAAGTAAAATTACTAAGGACTATGGATAAGAATTGAACACATTTAGGAAAATTTAAAACACCAAATAAAACTTGACATTGCCTCAGAGTTTCGGCCTGGTGATTTCAATATCGAAAACATGTTGTATATAAATGTATGACTAATTTTTTTTTATTCGGAGCCAGCTGGCGCCTAAATTTTTGAGATCTCTTATAGGCTCTCTTACTGTAGTCTACTGTTATATTGAAATCAGACCAAAACTGTTGAAGGAGTAACATTTAAAAAGTATTTCACAGAAATTTCTATTTTTTAGTCGCCATGGCAACACCATATATACAGAATTATGTACCTTAGTGTAGTCTATTTAAAATCAGAGGAGTAGTATTGTTTACAGACAGACAGACGAACAGCTAGACAGACAGACGGACGACGGACACCTTACTATGGCATAAGATATGCTGGTCTCTTACCAGTAGAGCTAAAAATTAAGATGGCGACAGTGAAGAACCTTGTTATTATCGTAGTTTGAAATTTTTTTATCAGTAGAGAAATACTTAAAACATCCAATATCTTTGGGTAAAACACTCCAAATTGCAAGAGGTTTTTTTTTCTTGAAAAATACATTTTAATGAAAACAGGACTATCAAAAATGCTATACTGTTGAACTAAAGGCCCATGGGCCTCACCTGAGTATCATGTAGCAACTTTCCCACAATTGAATTGGATTCGTGTTTTAAACCAAAGGCCATGAAATTCACAATTTTCAAAGAGGCTCCATTGCTCATCATAACTATAAACTAAGTTTGTTTACTTACCAAGATGTAGATATATGCAGATACAGACTATACATTCAAAGAAATAATGCATTTCCACAAAATAGTTAATAGTGCTTCCACCCCACAGGAATCCCCGATCCTGGGGTCACACATTTCACAATTTAGAAAGGGCACCCTGGGGACATGAATTTCATAATTTTGGAAGAGGCACCCTTCCTCAACATAACCATTCACTTAGTTTGTCTGTCAAATACCCAGGAGCAGAGAAGAAGATTTATTAAGAAATAATGCATTTTCACTATACATTCAATAGAGCTCCACCATATCTCCAGAACCCCTGACCCAGGGGCCATGAATGTCAAAAATGTTATAGAGGGCTCAATGCTTATTACAATTATGCCAACCGTTTGACTGCTTGATGTCCGGGAGTAAAAAGGAAGATTTTTAAAGATTGCATTAATTTTGACAGTTTAAGACCCATTCCCCAGGCTGACAGGGGTCAATTTCAAAAATTTACTTTACTTCATTCATAGATGCTATAGGCCAAAATTGGTTGAAATTGGTTCAGTGGTTCCAGATAAGAAGCTGAAAATGTTCAGGTGTTAGTGCACGGCCGACGAGAGCAGATAACAATAGGTCTCATGAGTACTCAGGTGACCTAAAATCCATTTAATTTTCTTTAAGAAAAAAATGAATGAATATATATTTCAGAATGGAATTCCAGGGCAAACCAGATATACCAAAGCAGAAAAAAATTAATAGATTATAAGAATTTATGATTATTTAAGTTATGTAAAGAAACCTACCAAAGAAATTGAGAGGAATACACTGTTTCACTAGGGAATGGAAAAAATGACCATCAATGCACTTGACTATTTCAATAGTTCTGTTCTGAAGGCAGAAAACATATGAGAAAATATCTCCTTCCACTGAACTTTTACCATTTGGTTTGTTAACGCATGAGATGAATCTATCTTCACAAGGTTTGCATGCAGCTGATGTATCTTTGGCAGGACATCGGTTTTGCATATAGTCACCTGATCAAAAGAGAAATAAATAATTAGTTCTACTTTTAAATATGCTTGTTAAAAAATTCTATGAGGAGTACTGTGGAATCAATTTAATTTGTTGGAAATCAATGTCTGTGGGTGATCAAAGTTTCACTGGCTTTTGGTTGTGTTTAATTTTTTGAGAATTTATAATTTAAAAAATTCAATGAAGCAATATTTTGACAAATTAAGTTTTTGTTCATGGTGATATAAATTCATGGTAAGGTCAACACATGAACAAATGGCTCAACATTAAAGTTTGTCCAATTGTCTATGTCCATTTTCCTTCATTACACCTCTAAGCTTTCTTCACAGATAAATGAAATAACATTCCCACTTAGGATAATGTGATTTAAATTCAAGATATGTTCTCTTGATTGACCCATTCAAGGGTTATAACCAGTTCCAACAATTGGTCTTGATTAACCGATTCAAAGATAACTAGTTCTAATTGTAACGGAGACCGATACAGATGTTCCCCAAACGCTCCCCCTATTCCCTTTGGAGCCCCATTCCTTACAAACGTCATAAACTTAAGTAAAACTTTGTACTATAGACTTTTCAAGTAACAGAGATATTAGTCTTCAATACTGGACTGAAATGCTTTTTTAAAAAAGAATTTCAATCCAATGTTTTCACAGACGTCCGCATCGAATTAATCGCGGACGTCCGAGAAAACATAAAATTGAATGGAATGTTTTCTCCGACGTCCGCAGTGAGTTGTGAGTTTATTGCAGACGTTTTAGTAAACACTGGATTGAAATTCTTCTTTGCAGTTAAATTTCAATCCACCTTGACTATTCTCTTAGACAAAGTTTTAATGATTCATCAAAAGGATAAAAAATATTATTCTAGTTTCAGAATAATATAAAATTAATACAAATAAGACTTTTCTATATAATTTCTAAAAAAAATTATGACTTTCATAGGGGTAATATGACAATTAAGGACAGGGGAGCTGGCGTTTTTGGAAATGAATAACTTGTCTATGAAAATATAAATACTCTGACCTCCAAGGCAATAAAATAAATAATCTTACGTTGAATTATAAGCCTTCAGTCATCTGTAAGGAATTCCAACTCTTTGCTAGCAAAAGATGAACAAGAGACCCGAGGGCCTTAACGGTCACTTGAGTACAATACAATAATTTAGAGGATCCATAAACTGATAAATGAAGCTTTAATTGTTGCCCAAAAGCAAGAAAAATAGTATGATTAGGATCAACAAAATAATTGGTCTAGTATCTATCTGTCTCCCATTTATCACTATTACATGCAGACTTTTAACAAAATGTCTATTTTTTAACCCCATATTATTACTTCTCACATTGGCCTTTGAAGAACATTTTAAAAAGTTATTTTTGTCTCATTTTTATTCATCTATTATTTCCAAGTCTACCTGATCATTAAAACTATGAAAGTACTTTTTGTATTATACAGTAAATATTCTTGCATAATCTCTTATTCTATTTAATTACAGACACGGTTTAAAATCAATTGTGCCTATAAGAATAGCTTTGTTGGACTAAAATGAACTTTGAACATTAATTTTGATCCAATGTTTTCTCAAACGTCTGCGTTGAATTCTACCCACCTATTTCGTTGTGATTTTTTCCTTAATAAGTATTTCTTTAAAGTGCGTTTTCCTGTGTGTGTCACTATTACTAGCATATATAAATATGTTTACTTGCATACAATAATACAAGGAAGGAGAATAGGAGAAGACCTCTCGTTGCTCGCAACGAGTTTCTAGTTATTATCATTATTCCGTTCACAACGGCAGACCTATAGTGATTGTATTGTTTCTTTTTATTATTATGATTATTCCTCCCAAATTTTGTGAGCTCGATAGTTCAGCGATGTTTGGATAGATTTTTACAATTTTTTAGAGGATAAATGGCTAATATGTTTGTTTGTTTGTATGTTGTTTAACGTCCCTCTCGAGAATTTTTAACTCATATGGAGACGCCACCACTTGCCGGTGGAGAGCTGCAAATTTTGTCCTGTACTCGGCACTTACGGCCATTGAGCAGTGAGGGATCTTTTTCGTGCCAGCACCTACTGCGACACGGGGCCTCGGTTTATACGGTTTCATCCGAAGGACCGCTCTCCACGTCCGAAAGTGGGATTCGAACCCGCGACTCCTTACTTCGCGACTCTAGAGCAGACGCTCTAACCACTGCGCCACGCGGGCGACAATGGCTGATATGTGAAGTTTATATAAAATTCCGTTTTTAAAAAATTCTCTACCGGTCTCTGAAGTTAAGGCCGAATTTCAAATATTAAAATTTAATGACTGTTACAACGCGAAATGTAATAACAACGCTAAATGCAATAAACCGGGATGATGGCATTTTGCGTTATTACATTTTGTGTCGATATCACCGCAGAATGTAATAACGCAAAATGTAAAAACATACTTTTTAGGATTGTTACATTTTGCGTTATTACATTTTGAGTCAAGATCAACGCAAAATGTAATAAAGCAAAATGTAACAAACAATTTTTTGGATTATTACATTTTGCGTTGTTACATTTTGCGTCGAGATTAAGCAAAATGCAATTATGCAAAATGTAATATCACTTTTTTTGGTTTTGGTCAGTCGGGTTGAGAATCTTTTTCAATTGAGAAGTGGATGAAGAAAATAAACGAAAAGAAAATAAAACAAAAGGAAAAATAAACATATGCTAATTCTTACATTAGATTTGATTTCATCATATATTGATTTCATTAGCCATATAACATCAGTTGATATTCAAATCATAGGTGTTGCAAATTAGAAACGTGCCTGCGCACGTATGTTTGGGTGGGGTGGGGTAATTTCGATGATCAGTGTATTAGTTTACTTTTGCATTTTGATAGGCACATGCATGAAATTTAGAAAAGAAAAAAATAAAGAAAATCTATTTATTTTTATTGGCAGGGTAAATATAGCGGGGGAGGGGGATTCTTGACAATTAAGATTTCATAATGTTTTACAAATCACTTGCATTGCAGACCAGCAAAAATAAAATCTTTCTCTCTCTCCAAATCATAAAATGGACCGTTTCTGCATGCGCATAAAAATACAATGATCAACATACGAAGTAACTCCCCCCTCCCCCCCCCCCCCCACGCTTCTCCTCGCCAGACACATACATTTCTAGTTTGCTAACCAATGTACACATATACGTCGTACATGCATATCAAGAGCTTTTAATGGACCCATGGTCAGTCTTTGGTATTTAAGAATGTCAGTGATGGATATATAATACAGACTAATTTATAAATAGTCATGTGAATAAAAGTTAAGTTAATAATTAAATAAGTATTCAATAAAATTATTAGGAAAAAAGTTAGAAAAAATATACAATTAGATTAATAATGTCCGTAAAGGCCGTAACGTTTGCCTCATAATCATAGGTCTGTCTGTTTATTTAGTAAAGCAAGTTTCCCCATTGTTATGTTTTATTCAATTTTGTGATGTTTTGCGTTGAACACAATACAAAAAAATAATTATATTTTGTATAATTACACTTTGTTTATTACAATTTACGTTGTCCTCCACGAAAAAATTAAGTAACGCAAAATGTAAGAACCAAAAAGTGCATTATTACATTTTGTGTCGAGATCAACGCGGAATGTTATAACGCAAAATGTAATAATCCAAAAATCGTGTTATTACGTTATTACATTCTGTGTTGATCTCGACGCAAAATGTAATAACGCAAAATGTAATAATCCCAGTTTCTTACATTTTGCGTTGTTGGTACATTTCGCGTTGTAACAATTGACTTTTTAGATAAAGGCGGAAATAGTATCGAGGACGTCGGAGACGTCTGCACTCTCCATATAAAAATATTTAGACGTTCCATATTTACTCCATTAGAACTACATGTAAGAGTACCTCATTCAGTGTATGTGTAGTATAAAGTTGCCAGAGCAGTGTAGGTCTGTATTGACAGTTATCGAAGAAAGCTTATGTATTTACACATGTATGAATCTAAAAGAAATAGAAAAAACCCTGATATATGCCAGCTAGCACATTCAAGTAAATCTATTATAAACAGTATACATTTATAGTGATGGCATGCAATTTTATCTATCTCATATAGTTCAGAATAAGACTGTTAATAAGCCTTCTATAATGCAGACTATTTTTTATTCTCTAAATCCACTCTGCGATTTGAATGCCAAATATCCCGATTTCCGAGTTTCATTTTCGATATAAAAATATTAAATACATGTACACTAAAATGGAACTGAGCAATAGAAAATCGTTATATTGTATTAAGGCTTTAGAAATAAATTGAAATCTGCCACTTAAAAGAAAGAAAACTAAGCTATAGATTAGATTTGGTTATTTTATTTGATAAAAAGTCGTTAAATTATTTAAAACACAAGATACTCCTTATACTCAAGGAGTAAATAAAATATCATGTGAAAAGGCGATTCTGTATGAAATAATGTTCTGATAGATGTTTCTTCTGAAAAAAAAAAAGAATTATTACAATGATTAAAAAATTGCACAGGTCTGTTGATATGTCGGATAAGTATACCTGCACAATTTTTATGCAATGATAGACATGTACATGCAACTAACATCCCTAATTTTCCTTATAAATCATAAAATCATCTTCTGCTTTTGAAGCCCCCCTCCCCCGGTCTCAATTTATCTTTTGAGAAGTTTGCGCAAATAGGAATTTGAAATATAATTTCATTATAGATCAGAACATGTGGTTATAGTTACAGTATACATGTATGCAAAATTTCGTATTCTATAATGGTAATTTTTTTCTTACAATATGGCATTATGATACTGAAATGTTAAATTTACATGTACATGTCTGAGAGAGAGAGAGAGAGAGAGAGAGATAGAGAGAGAGAGAGAGATTCCCTCTTAATACCGATCCTCTTTTCCATATACATACATCAAAGAAAGTTCTATGTCAGTCACCCATTCTTTAATAAATGGTTTTGATTTCATAGTCATGAACAAAACCTGTATT